ATTGTGGTATGCTTCTTGCCCTCTGTCTCCCCATGCCCCACTCCCTCTCAGAAAATTAGTTAATTATTAAAAATAAAGAGAAGGACAGAATTCCAACAATTTTAGTTCATGTGCTTAGAAACCAAAAAATTCATTTATCATTTATCAGAAAAATCATAATTGAAAGGGGCTAGCAGGTGGCATGGTGGCTAAGGCACTGGACTCCCACATAACTGACCACTGTGGTTCGAGTCCTGGACCTGGTGACTTGCTTTCTCACTTTCCCTCTGTCTCTCTGGTGAGTGCATGTGCCCTGTAGCAAATTAAATATTATAATAATGATGATAGTGATAGATAAAATTAAATAATTATGTTTTTAAAATCAAAATGGGTGGGGCCAGCAGGGCATAGTGGTTATGGCATGGGACTCCTACATGGTTGACTTTGGTTCAAGTCCTGGACCCCGGGACTCCTACATGCTTGACTTTGGTTCAAGTCCTGGACCCAGAAGCTTGAAACTCATGCCGAGTGCATAACTAAAATCCCAAGAGGAGAATGAAGGAGAAGGGATTATGGCATAGCCATCATCTCCGGGGGGAGAGGTGATTTCTTGCTTCTGTCTCTCTGTTTCTGTCTGTCTCTCTGGTGAGTGAATGTGTGCTATAGCAAAAAATCTCTTATAAAAATACATAAATAAAAATGAGACCAGCAGGTTAAGGTACTGGACACTCCCACATGGCCAACCACAGTTCAAGTCCCAGACTTGGTGACTTGATATCTCACTTTCCCTCTTTCTCTCTCCTATGTCTCTCTTTGGTCAAATTAAAATAAATGAATGAACAAATAAAATAAATTTTTAAAAATACATAAATAAAAATCATTATGGAAAGTATAAAATACTTAAATATGAACATGAAAACATGTCAGCACTTAAGAGGAAAAATTTATAGTTTTAGAGCAATTTTAAAATATAGTAATTTATTTATTTATTTATTTTTTTGGAGAGGTTTTATGCTATAGGGCGCATGCACTCGCCAGACAAAGAGGGACATAGAGACAGAAAGCGAGAAATCACCCCCCAGGGGGGATGGGCACGCACGCACACGGCAAGAGTTTTAAGCCACTGGGTCCGGGACATAAACCGCGGTCGACTACGTGGGTGTCCAGCGACATAGCCATTACGCTAACTGCTGGTTCCCAAAATATAGTAATTCTTACAACAAAATTTATACTTTTAAATGCATATATATAAAAAGGAAGAATGATTAAAATCTAATGAGCCAAGTATTCAACTAGGAAAGACTGAAAAGGAAGAACAGCATGAACCCAAGAAAAGTAGAAGAAAAGAAACAATAAAAATCTGAACAAAAATTATTAAATAGAAAACAGGTAATAATAAAGCAAAGAAACAAAATCAAAAATTGGTTCTTTGAAAAGACTAAGAAGGTGGGACCAGCAGTTAGCATAATGGCTATGTTGCTGAGCTCCCATGTAGTCGACCACGGTTCAAGTCCTGGACCCGGTGGCTTAAACTCAACGCCGGGCGCGTGTGCGTGCATGCCCAAGATCCTGAGAGGAGAATGGAGGAGAAGGGATTGCAGAGGGGCCATTCCCACAGGGGGTTATTTCTCGCTTTCTGTCTCTCTGTCTTTCTGGAGAGTGCACACGCCCTATAGCAAAAACCTCTCCAACAACAACAAAAAAGGACTGATAAGGGACCAGCAGATGGCATAATTGTTACATTGCTGGACTCCCATGTAATCAACTGCGGTTCAAGGCCCGATCCCTGTGGCTTAAAATGTACCGGGTGCATGTGTATGCATGCCGAAAATCCTGAGAGGAAGGGATTGCACATGGCCATCCCCCTGGGGAGCGGGGGTGGGAGGATTTCTTGCTTTCTCTCTCTCTGTCTCTCTGTCTCTAGTGAGTGCACATGCCCTATAGCAAAAACTCTTTCTTTCTCTCTCTCTTTCTCTCTCTAAAAAAAAAAAAAAAGAAAGAAAGAAAGAGAAGACTATTAAAATGGGAGTGCTATGCTGTGCTTTTTTAAAGTGGTAGAAAGAACAAATAGTATATGTACCCAAAGGAGCTAGTAAATTACTATCTGTTGGCCCCAGTAGGTGGCATGATGGTTAAGGCACTAGACTCCCTCATGGCCTACTACAGTTCAAGTTCCGGACCTGGAGGTTTGAAAATCACACCTGGTATATGTGTATGCATGCCCAAAATCCCAGGAGAAGAATGGGGAATGGATTGCAGCATGGCCATCCTCCGGAGGTGATTTCCTACTTTCCCTCTCACCAGCTCTCTCTCTCTATCTCTCTCCCCAGCAAGCACACATGCCCAGTGACAAAAATCTTAAAAAAAAATTTTTTTTAAACAATTGCTATCTGGGGACTAGCAGTTGGTGTAATGGCTACGTAACTGGACTCCCATGTAGTCGACTGCGGTTCAAGTCCCGGACCTAGTGGCTTAAACTCAGGGCCAGTGGGCATTTGAAAGATTGTGACTTAGTGGGACCAGCAGGTGGCATGGTGGTTAAGGTGCTGGACACTCCCTCATGGCCAACCATGGTTTGAGTCCCAGACCTGGTGGCTTGCTTTCTCACTTTTCTTCCTTCTCTCTCTCTGTGTTGCTCTCTGGTCAAATTAAAAAATAATAATAATAAATGAATTAATAAATAAAGTTAAAATTTAAAAAAAAGGAAAAAAGATTATGATTTAGTTACATCTTGTGTTCTCACTTGTGCCCCTGTCAAGTTATAAAATTTGTGAAAATGTAGATAAGCAAATGGACTCAGATAAGTCCATAGCATTTTAAATGGAATGTAACCATTTTTTAAATTATTAAAAAATTCATTAAAATATTTTAATGAATTACTTATTTTAGTAGGCACTATAAAGATCTTTCCAGATACACATTTGAAGATTCAAATCCTGAAAAAATTTAAAAGAGAACTATCCAATAATCCCACTACTGGGTACATAGCCCAAGAGGAGGAAATCAATATGTCAAAGAGACATCTGCATTCTTACATACTGCAGTGTTATTCATAATAGCCAAAATACAGAATTAACCTAGTGTCCATCAATGCATAAATGGATAAAGAAAATACGGTATACACGATGGGATACTATGCAGCCTTTAAGAAGAGGAAAATCCTGCCATTTGCAACAGCATGGATTTCCAGAAGACATTATAAGTGAAATAAGCCAGACACAGAAAGACAAATATCACATGACCTCATTTAAATGTGGAACCCAATATAGTCAAAACCATAAAGCTGAGAGTAGAATGGTGGTTACCAGGGGCTGGCAGTGGAACAAGCAGGTAGACTGAGGGATACTGGTCGAAGTATAAAGAATTTCAGTTAGAGATAAAAAATACATTTAGGAAGTTTATTGTGTAATATACTTACTATAGTTCACAACAATGTTTTGTGTATTTGAAAACTGTTATGAGTAGAGTTTAAATGTTCTTACCACAAAAAAATGATAGGAATGTGAGGAATAGAAATGTTACCTAGCTTGATTTAGGTGTTACACAGTGTGTGTGTGTGTGTGTGTGTGTATAGATATATAGATATATAACTAATGTGTATACTATAAATATATAAAATTTTTGTCAGTTAAAAAAATAAATAAGAGCCAGCAGGTGGCATGGTGGTTAAGGTGCTGGACTCCCATGTGGCTGACTATAGTTTGAGTCCCAGACCTAGCAACTTGAAAATCATGCTGGGAACATGTCTGTGTGTGACCAAAATCCCAGAAAAAGAATGGAGAAGGGATTGTGACATGGCCATCCTCCTGGTGGGTGATTTCTCATTTTCCCACTCACTGTCTGGCAAGTGCATGCACTCTATGGCAAAAACCTTAAAAATAAGGAAAAAAATTAAGAACCAGATATTTTCGCCTCTAAAATCAAATTTATTGGGACCAGCAGTTGGCGTAATGGCTATGTCGCTGGATTCCCATGTAGTTGACTGTGGTTCAAGTCCCAGACCTGGTGACCTAAACTCATGCCAGGCGTATGTGTGTGTATGCCCAAAATCCCGAGAGGAGAATGGAGGAGAAGGGATTGCAGTGTGGCCATCCCCCGGGGGGTGATTTCTCACTTTCTGTCTCTCTGTCTGTTTCTGTCTTTCTGGTGAGCTCATGCGCCTTTTAGCAAAAAACCTCTCCAAAAGAAAAAAGAAAAAAAAAATCAAATTTATCTTACTGTGATATCACTAGGAACTTAACTGTTTTCTAAGTATTTGTATCACCAATCCCTTGTTGTTAAACCTAAAATTTAAAAAGAAAAGTAAGGATTAAAATAATGCAAATTATGAACTGTAATATGGTATTTTTGATTAAAATATTTGATGTAGCGTTGGGAGATGGCATGGTGGTTAAGCTGGCTGGCCACCCACATGGCTGACACCGATTCAAGTCCCAAACCTGGCAGCTTTCTCACTTTCCCTCTCTCTTTTTATTTCTCTCTCTAGTCAACTTTAAAAATTATAATAGTAATAAAATACTGACGAATAAAATTTTAAAATATATATATATTTGATGAGAGTATTCATTATCTAGTAATGTTCGCTATGTATTTTAACCAAATTATTTTGTCAGATTGGCTTTCTCTAGCTTTTTATTTAGTATACCATACCCCAGTGAACATTTTTTTAATCTATTTATTTATTTATTTTAATTTGATCAGAGAGGGACAGAGAGAAAGAAAGCAAGCCACCAGGTCCGGGACTCGAACTGTGGTCGACCATGTGGGAGTCCAGTGCCATTAACCACCACACTACCTGCTGACCCTCCCAGTGAACATTTTACTCAATCCTCATGAATAAAAAATTAAGAAAATGGGAAATGAAAAAAAAAAAAAACTAAAATGGGATACTTTTCGTACTTCACTTTTATTTATCTTCCCTTTTATTTTTTACTTAAAATCTGGCTCTAAGTCTGAACTCTATTTAAAATTTGATGATTTCTTCCTTAACTTTATTCCTTTTTTTCATTACACACATATAGGAAGGAGAAAAAATCTGAATCATCTCAGCTTAACTGAAAGAAAGAGCTCTGCAACAAAAGACAATGATGAGTAAGTTTGTTTATTTTCTTTTTTAAGTGCTAGAGAGAGAGAGAAAGATTCCCCAGTGGGGCCTGGTTAAGCTATTATCTTTTTTCCTTCAATTCTCTATCCTTTTGAGATCCTGGGCATGAATCCTGCCCCTAAACCCCATGTGTTTTTCAAGTCTCAAGACCTAGGACTCAAACCCTGGTTGGCCATGTGGAATCCAGCTTTCTCTATGTAATACTCAACTGCTACACTATGGGGCCAGACCAATTTATTGCTTTTTCGTGTGTCTTGCAAGAAAATGTGGGTTTTTTGTTTTGTTTTGTTTTGTTTTTCCATTGCCAGAGAGGGAAAAAGAGAGCCCACACCCCAGTGGGCCATGGTCATGCTAGAATTCCTTTTCCTCCATTTCTTCTCTCAGGATTTGGGGTATGCATGCACATGCCCCTATCATGTTTTTCAAGTTACCACAGCCAACACTTGAACTGAGTGGTTGGTCATGTAGAATCTAGATCCTTTAACCACTAGGCCACCAGCCCAGAAAGGGTCATATTGGGGCCAGCAAATGGTATGGTGGTTGGGAGTACTGGATTCCCCTTCAGCCGACTGTGGTTTGAGTCTCAGACCTAGCGACTTGCTTTCTCACTTTCCCTCTCTCTCACTCTGTCCTTCTCTGGTCAAAATTTTTAAGAGAAGATAAATAAGCAAATAGAATTAAATAAAATAATTCTATAAAAAGGGGGGTCTTATTTGTTAAACTAATAATTTAGGAGAAATTATTTGTAGAAAATAATAATTTATATCTGACCTGAAGTAGTCTTTCTTAAAGAAGTGAAATAAGGCCAGGTGATGGCATGTGGTTAAAGCAGCTGGATCTCACATGGCGTGGTTCAAGTCTCAGACCCAGCAAGTTGAAAAACACTGCGAGCACATGTGTGTACCTGCCTAAAATCCTGAGAGGAGAATGAAGGAGAAGAGACTGTGGTGTGGTCATGTGGTCATCCCTCTTGGGAAAGTGCTTTCTCACTTTTTCCTCTCTCAGTCTCTCTCTGGTGAGCACATGTACCTTATAACACACACACACACACACACACACACACACACAAAGACATTAAATCACTTATTTGTGATGTATTTTGTGCTGTTCATGCAATGGTGATATATCATACCTTAATTTTAATACTCACTGAGCCTAGTTCTCCCACTCTATGTGTAATAGACCAGTTTAGAGTAAAACTGAAAAAAAACACTCATTTCAGTTTTATATGAATGGAGAAGTAACATATTTCTAGGAACATAGTGAGTAACAAATAGCTGGCTCAAGACAGCTAAGAAGATTCATATAATGGAAGTAAGTAGTGGACTGGCTCCGTGGCCTTGTGGTTAAGGCAGCCAGATCCCCTATGGCTGACCATGCAGTTCGAAGCCTAGACCTGGTGCTTCCAGTGGTTTGTGAAACATGCTGGGCATGTATGTATGCCTGTCCAAAAAAAAAAAAAACTAGTAGCACATAATAATTTGTGAATCACAGATAATCTTGTATTTTAAAGCAGACATCTGCTATACCCAATGAATTTCTGGTAACAGTGATATAAAGTGTAAGTAGGCAGTAAGGAGGAAATGGTTTTGGACAAAAGCAATAGACACTATATAAGGAAGCCAAACCTACCTGGCCAGTTTCCCCAAAATCCACATAAACTATCCTAACTTTAGTGTTTTCCTTCTTTTTCTTAACTGTCAGTTTGCTTTCAACTCAGATCTTTTAACAATAACCCCCATGGCAGTTCGCTTTCAAGTAGCAACGGAGGAATAAGAAACTTTGTTGTGGGGCACTGAGGAATTTGCCTATATTTATTTATGGTTATGGTTAAAGATCTTAAAGACTTTTTTTTTTAAGGTCTTTGCCATAAGGCATATGCACTCACTGGAGAGAGACAGAGAGAGGAAAAGTGAGAAATCACCACCCCTAGGGAGCATGGTCATGATCCCTTCTCCTCCATTCTCCCCCTGGGATTTTGGACACACATGCACACACACCCATTGTGAGTTTCAAGCCCTGAGGTCCAGGACTTGAACTGCGATCAACCATGTGAGAGTCCAGTGCATTAATCACCATGCTACCTGCTGGCCCCTTAAAGATAATCTTAATTTGTAAATCCCATTTGGGAGAGAATTAAAATAGAAGATGACAGAACTAACATTCAAAAAGAAAGTAAATAAGTTTTTTATTCAGAATAGGTATTTATGTTAGTCTTTAGTGTGTAATTGAAAACATAAGTTTTGAGCCAGCCCCATAGCCTAGTGGTTGAGAGAACCAAATTTCACATGGCCAACTACTATTAAAATCCTGGCCCTGATAGCTTGAAAAACTCATTGGACACGTGTGTATGTCTGCCCAATATCCCAAAAGAACAGAGAAATGGAAAAGAGTTTATAGCCTGACCATACCCCGTTAGGGGTGCTTTCTCTCAGTCTCTGGCAAGCACACAAGCCCTGTGGCAATTTATTAAAAACAAAACAAAAAAAGATTCACAAACCCAGTAAATAGACATAGGTAATAATAGCTAGTAATTATTGAGTACCTGCCATGTGCTGGAAATATATTACGTTTAATCCTCTCAATGACCCAGTGAGGTAGATAATGTTACCTCCCTTCACAGGTGAAAAAAACTGAATTTTAGACAGGTACAATAACAGCTTAAGTTTATAAGCTTCACATCTGAAAGACTGCTTTTCATCAGTGTGCTAGAATTAACTGATACTCTAGCACAGTATATTATGTTGTCTGCCCCGCACCTCTTCCTGCTGGGATTAACATTCTTAAAATCACCCCTCGCCCATTCTACTTCTGTCACTTTGTTTTAAGAGTTATTTTTATTTAATTTTATTTATTATTAATAACATTCTTAAAATCACCCCTCGCCCATTCTACTTCTGTGACTTTTTTTAAGAGTTATTTTTATTTACTTTTATTTATTATTAATAGTATTTTATTAATTTGCTATAGGGCATTTTTACTCACCAGAGAGAGAGAGAAAATGAGAAAGCAAGCTGCCAGATCCAGGACTCAAATCATGGTCTGCCATGTGGGAGTTCAGTGTCTCAACCACCATGACACCTGCTGGCCCCATACTGTGGCTCTTTATCACAAGACCCTATTCCCTAGACAGTTGATGGGTCCGGGAGTAGGCACCTGACCCAAGCCCAGTCAATTAGTTATTCCATAGGTTTGATGAAGGTGGAAGTAGGGC